CAGAGATGTGGAATAAAGGTGCGTTCACATTGGATTCATTTAAATCAAGATGAAGGCTAACCTTACCTTGGTCAAATCTTACTGCTGTTTGTACTTGGATTTATGTATGCAGTAGGTTTTAATTTAGTAAGATTTTGCGCATGTGTAGTCGGTATGGAAAGCATACGTGGAAAGCATGGTGATGTGCGTGGTATGTAGTGGTGCATGGAAAAATAGCCTGTATATGTTTTGGCAACTGTGACAGTGACTCGGTTATTTGCGGCATATCTTGGATAATTAGACCAAGGAGAATGTTACGCAGGCTGTTCACACATAAGCAATTACTTACTCACCCTTGGTTAACTTTTCTTGTTTCTTCTATCCACTTCACCATGACAACTTCCTCTGGTTCAGAGTCCCCAACAGGTCCACACGGTATCCAAAAGTCCTTCATTTCCCTCAGGCTTTGTCGGAACGCAGCCATCATATTGGGCTGAATCTGCACCATCACTCCATCTTTCACTATGCTGGATTTGGATATTAAGCCTGTGCTTGCCTTCAGTGCTCCATTGAAAACCACAAAGCTAGCTCCAGTAACTGTAACCAATGTTATTGTACAATAAACATTGGTTACAGTTACTGCAGCCAATAAACATTGGTTAAAGTAACTGTAATCAATGTTTATTGTACAATGAAAGAAATCGATGTAATTATATGGATTTTTAATTTACTTTTTAAGTTAAACACTCGAGAGAAGGTAATTGTGCAAATAAAAGATACATATTTTTGAGTCCCAGGTAAATCATCAGATCTCCTGCAAACAGGGGACAAGCATAAAATGCTTATAGGCCCTTCATTAACAAAAAATTAAAATGGTGCAAATTTGAATATGTGGTCAGACCATCTCTTTTCTATAGTTTACCTTGCCTCGGTTTGTTTTGGATGTTGATGGCTTGGGTTTGATAGTTTGCCATATCATTCTGGATGCACACCAAGTGAGAGTCAGCTTCAGTGCTGAAGTTGGCCACCACTGCCATCACATGCTCATTCGAATTACTGATCACTTTCATGGTCTGCAGAAGAATTTGCAAAATACAAATTTTTAAACACACTACATGCCGTGTGGTATAAGTACAAGACTTGGACTTAAGCTGGGCACTCACTCCCTGGTTGTACGACTGTTGCACGACGAATCCAACTCCGCTCCCCAAGAGCGCTAGACGACGCGACGCTGTTTGCTTCGACGATGGCAGTCTAGATGGATTGTCATTAAAAAAGATATGTAGTGTGCGCGTATTCACGTTGCGTTCTTCATAGAATCGACCGTCTTTACAGCATCACTCTCAGCCTTATGACAGACATTCAGCTCATTGTTCAAATGATTTAAACAAAAACAGCTGCGTATCTGATGTAAAGCATGCACTGTTATGTAGATGTCATTGTAGAAATATTGTTTATAAATTCATGTTAATATAGCTGATAACTGTTTACACTCACCTCATCGTATTTACTGTTAGGAAAGTTTATCCTGGTTTCTTTTTTCTGCATATGAATCGTAATCCCCGGAATTTGAGGTAACATGTATTGATAATTCTTAAAATCCTGAAATACCATAAGAAAAATTATATATTTCAATAATGAATAACACAAAAAAATCACTTACTGCAATGCACCAGTCCGGTATTATTGAGAGCACTAGACCTAGTATACAAATAATGAATGTTTATGAGTGCAATGGGGTAGAATATTTCATGAGGTGAAAGATTGGATGTTCTATTCAATGAGGCATAGCAGAGTTAAATAGAACATCCAATCTTTCAACGAATTGTACGAATAAGAAACATTCATTATTTGTTATTTTATGCAACACTTGCTGTCTCTCTCTGGATCGCCTGCATGCTCTTCTTCAACAAAGACCCATCTTCCTTTTAAAGGCCAGCATAAAACCGGCCTAGCCCTAGGAATCGATCATGTGTGTTTGTTAGACATGCGCATATTTTTTACCCTGTTCTGATTTATTAACACTCCAAAAAAGTCCATAGAATGATGCCGTGTGCCAATCTCAAATTTTTGACAATCGCCTAGTTTTGCCGGAGTTAGTTACAGTCCAAGGCCTTATGTGGCACACAATGCGAAGCAAGATATAAGGCCGGGTAGGAACTGTTGCTAGTGATGATCAGCTCCCCACTTGGTTATGGAGCATCTTGAGTCCTGATCTGCCCTCAGGCCTCATAGCGAGACATGGTTACAAAACATTGTCCCAAGTGAATATCTCTCTACCCGCGCACCAAGCCTCATAACAAGAGAAGGTTAGTCCTAAATGATTACCTTTCCATTACCCAATCCTTATAAATACGGAATAAATAATATAAATCAGCCGGTATCAGCAAAGAACGTACTTTGAATGTTATGACTTTAGCTTCAACATGGGTATGAATGGGTATGTTATAAGATACACAATATGTATTTGCATTACTATGTTACTGTTTAAAATTATACATTAATAATGTGAAGATAATGTGGAGATTTACAGTGCAAACTGTATTTAAAGAGCTGACCAATATTATTACATGCAAAAAACATGTTTGTATCAAGTTTATTTTTTAAATAAAACAGATGTCATTTTGCAACTTACTACGTAATATTGGCATTGATTTCTCAACTTTCGGGTTCTCTTCAACAGCATACTCTGAAAACAACATGAATCAAATTAAAAAACTGCAATACCATTAAATTTTGTCATTAATACTGATAACAAAAACAATAACAATATTAATAAATATAAAAAAAAGAGGTTGTAGAGGTATTTTAACAATCATTTAAACAAACTATATCTCGATTAACATTTTTAATATCATTATTGATATTAATTGCTCAATTTTAAAAAGTATTTATTTATCTGTAATTGTTGCTGCTTTTTGTTTATTCTTTGAGGCATGATGTTTTTTGCAGTCACTGTAATGTTCCTTTTTTATTGTTACTGTTTGCTATTACTTTTATTGTGTTTTTGCTGATATTGTTTTGCCTCTGGTTATTATTGCTTATGTTTTGTATTTATTATTATTATTATTATTTCTTATTATTTCTTTTTTTGTTATCATTATTATTTTGTTGTTATTGTTATTATTTATATAGTAAAGCAACAATAATGATATTATTATATTAATGATAATATTTCATTATATGTTACCATTTTGGGGATCAGTCAGAGAATCAATTTCAGTTTATTTGATCCTCTTCCTTTTGTTATATTCTCCCATATTTCGCTTACTATAATTACTTTTCTTTTCTTGTAATTTTTTTTTCCAAATTTTGTTTTACATAATTGTTTTATGTTCAAAAGGAAAAATAAACTTTACTTTGATTTGATTTTTATGTCATGACCATATTTGCGCATGTCGCATTTTTTTGTCAATAAAATTTGATAGTCTGGACAAGGCTTTACGCTCAAATTTTCTTTTACAAAAAACTGCTGTATGCCCATATATAGACATGATGTGCCTATATATGGTCATGATGTGCCCATATATAGTCATGATGTGCCCATATATAGACTTGATGTGCCTATATATGGTCATGATGTGCCTATATATGGTCATGATGTGCCTATATAGTCATGATGTGCCCATATATAGTCATGATGTGATAGTGCCTCTTCCACGAACATCTCAAACATAATCTTTGACAACACTCAAAGGCTCATATATGTACACCATTTCAAAAGAGAAATTTCTACATTTTAAAGAGCCGAGTGCTTCCCAAACTTTTTGCATTTGCAGAGCCCTCTTTCTAAAATCTACACGAACCCCGCAAGTATTAAGGTTTACTCATTGGTGATATTCCGCCAATTAATTATTATCTCACTTGTAAGACAAGAAAAATAAGGAATCTTATTATCTTATAAGGAAGACAAGTGGTCTAAAAATGTAGTGGCCCCCCTCCCCCACCCCAACATTTTTTCGCAGATCCCCTACATTACAGACTACACAGGACAGTTCATACATACAGTCGGGTCAATCATTGTATATATTGACATTGAGTAGAAAAGTATGACAGTCAACTCTCCCAATACCGACGACCCAGAAAAATCCGAATTCCCAAAATCATTCCTATTCTTACTGTATTAAAATACTTTCTGAAAACCGGATCTCCAAATTCCGAATTCCGGCCAAATTCTTTGGTTGTTAGGAATGGAACATTATAATTTTTTTTTACTGAGATACCAAGTGAGTCCTATACTGCATGATTCAATCACTATCACAGAGTATGGATGGGGTTTGCACTGTGTTTTGAGGGGTTTGCGGGGTTTAGCAATTTTTTTATACAAAAAATGGCCTTCTTACCCCAAAAATAGGTTGTGACAAACATAAAATTAAGATTTTTTTTATTGAGATACCAAGTTGAGACTTATACTATGTGATTCAAGCATTATCGCAAGGTTTGGATGGGGTTTGCAGTGTTTTTTTGGAGGTTTGCGGGGTATGCGGGGTTTAGCAATACCCTGATGAATGACAATTATCTCAAAGGTCCTATTTGGTTGCTACTTGTTGGCTACATTTACTTGTATAATGCTCACATTCAAAAGTTTTTCAGATGAATTTTTCAAAACACAATCACTCATTCATACAGTGTGTATATCCTTCATGTAAAATTCTTTTATTGCTTGAAATAACATGTTTCTTATTAATTCTTTACTCCCACAATGTTTATGGTGTCCTCCTAATATATAATAATATACTCTTTAAGTGTTTTCAGCAAAAACAAACTTCTATCCAGAATGTTCTACATTCATAAATTCTCTCTTCTGCAGAGGACCCAGTTTGGAATAAGTCAGTTCCGGACGATTTGGTTAAATGAGTAATATTAACATCTAATTTGTGTTTGCTCTGCACAGTGATAACCTTCGGAATAGACTTGTGTGGGAGAGTCTTGCTTGCTTGAAGGTGGAGGCCGTCCCCCTGCTCCTGTGGGTATAACACAAACTACCAGTTAAACTAATCTCCTTATTCAAGGTTTCTCACCTTTCATGTATCCACAAATGTATATTTAAATTTCCCAGTTACAGCACTTTAAATTTCTTTCCACAATATTCACAGGTCTCACTTTCCATGATGCTTCTTCAAATGTGTTTTCAAATTACCACTTTGATTAAATTTCTTTCCGCAATGTTCACATTCATATGGTTTCTCCCCTGTGTGAATCCTCAAATGAATTTTTAAACTACTTTTTAAAATAAACTTCTTTCCACAATATTCACATCCACAAGGCTTCTTTCCAGCATGGATTCTTAAATGAATTTTCAAATAACTTTTAAACTTAAACTTCCGTCCACAGTGTTCACATTCATAAGGCATCCCTCCTTTATCTACTGTACAAATATGCGATTTCAAATAACTTTTAAACTTAAACTTGTTCCCACATTGTTCACATTTATAAGATGTCTTTTTTGAGTGTAGCATTGTATGATTTTCCAACTTACGACTTGTCCTAAACTTCAACCTACACGGTATACATTCGTAATTTCTATGCGTCTTCAAATGTTTTTTCAAACTACTACTTTGCTTAAATTTCTTTCCACAATGTTCACATTCATAAGGTGTTTCCCCCGTGTGAATTCTCAAATGCGTTTTTAATTGAGCAATTAACCTAAACTTCCTTCCACAATGTTCACATACATAAGGCTTCTCCCCGGTGTGAACCCTCAAATGTAATTTTAAATTACCATTGTGGTTAAACTTTTTTCCGCAATGTTCACATTCATAAGGCTTCTCCCCCGTGTGTGTTCTTAAATGTATCCGGAAATTATTATGTAGACTGAACATTTTTCCACAGTGTTCACATTTATAAGGTGCCTGTCCTGTGTGTGTTTTTGTATGAAGTTTCAAATATGATTTATCCTTAAACATTTTTCCACAGTAATCACATTCATACCGAATCTTTTCTGTATGCTAGATGTGTATAAGAGACAGGTGTCCTCCTATTATATAATATACTCTTTAAGTGTTTTCAGCAAAAACAAACTTCTTTCCAGAATGTTCTACATTCATAAATTCTCTCTTCTGCAGAGGACCCAGTTTGGAATAAGTCAGTTCCGGACGATTTGGTTAAATGAGTAATATTAACATCTAATTTGAGTTTGCTCTGCACACTGATAACCATCGGAACAGATTTGTGTGAGAGAGTCTTGCTTGCTTGAAGGGGGAGGCCGTCCCCCTGCTCCTGTGGGTATAACACAAACTACCAGTTAAACTAATCTCCTTATTCAAGGTTTCTCACCTTTTATGTATCCACAAATGTATATTTAAATTTCCCTCCACAGTGTTCACATTTATAAGGTGCCTGTCCTGTGTGTGTTTTTGTATGAAGTTTCAAATATGATTTATCCTTAAACATTTTTCCACAGTAATCACATTCATACCGTATCATTTCTGTATGTATCTTCAGATGCTTTTTCAAATTCCTACTTGTCCTAAACTTCAATCCACACTGTTTACATTCATAATTACTATGGACCTTCAAATGTGTTTTCAAATCACAGCTTTGCTTAAATTTCTTTCCACAATGTTCACATTCATAAGGTGTTTTCCCAGTATGAATTCTTAAATGCTTTTTTAAACTACCATTTTGGTTAAACTTCTTTCCACAATGTTCACATTCATAAAATGTCTCATCTATGTGTGCTGTTGCAAAACTTTTCTGAATTCTCTTTCTATGCCTCTCCAAATGTCTTTTAAAATTACAACTTTGCGTAAATTGCTTTCCACACTGTTCACATTCATAAGGTGTCTCCTTGTTGTGAACCCTCAAATGCGTTTTTAAATTATCATTTAACCTAAACTTCCTTCCGCAATGTTCACATTCATAAGGTGTCTCCCTTGTATGTATCTTTAGATGTGCTTTCAAATTACTATTTTGACTAAACCTTTTTCCACACTGCTCACATTCAAAAGGCTTCTCTGCCGTATGTATTCTTAAATGCATTCTGAAATTACTACGGTGAGCAAACTTTTTTCCACAATGTTCACATTCATAAGGCATCTCTTCTTTACCTACTGTACAAGTATGTGATTTCAAATAACTTTTAAACTTAAACTTACTTCCGCAAAGTCCACATTTATAAGGTGTCTCTTCTGTGTGTACCCTCATATGATGCTTCAAAGTACGACTTGTCCTAAACTTCAACCCACACTGTTTACATTCATGAGGTGTTTCACCTTTGTGTTCCCTCATATGTGTTTCTAAACTATCCCTTTCACTGAATATTTTTCCACAATGTTCACATAAATAAGGTGTCTCTCCTGTATGTACCACCATATGATTTTCCAAATGTTCTTTGCAGTTAAACTTCTCTCTACAATGTTTACATTCATAATGTATCTCTCCAGTATGTATCCTCATGTGGCATTTCAAAATCATCTTTTGTCTAAACTTCTTTCCACACTGTTCACATTCGTATGGAGTCTCCTTCGTGTGTACTGTCATGTGCGATTTCATGTTACTTTTCTGATTGAATTTTTTTCCACAATGTTCACATTCATAAAGTTTCTCTTGTTTATGTACCTCCATATGACTTTTCAAATGTTCTCTGTGATTAAATTTCGTTCCACAATGTTCACATTCAAGTGTTTTCAGAAGCAATACTTTAACTTCGTATCGTCTTTCCCCTACATGTGTCTTCAAATGCCTTTTTAAGTAATCATTGTCCTTGAATTTCTGTCCACAATGTTCGCATTCATATGGCAAATCGTTTTTATGTATCATCAGATGTACTTCCAAATTGCTTTTTCGCTTGAATTCCTCTCCACAATGTTCACATTCATATTCATCTTTCTCTTCCACATGTTTTTTGAAACTGTCATTTTGTTCATGTTGTTTGATTATTCCATTGCAGTCATTCACACATTTCTCCCCATTGATATTTTTTGTGCTTGTATATTTTGGTTTTGATTGCAGTACTGGCAAAATATCTGTCATCAAACCATGGTCTTCATCTCGACTTTCTTGAGGACTGTGGCAAATACTGTTCTCTCCTTCAAAAAAAAATTGCAAAGAAAAAAAAAAAGATTCGTACAGTTTTATTTTTTTAATTCAAAACAAGATTTGACTTTTGCACTATTATGTTGAAATGCATGACAAGATGAATTTAAAAATAAACCAAAATTCACAAAACTTGACACAATTATACCTGTCTCTTATACACATCTAGATGTGTATAAGAGACAGCCTAATATATAATAATATACTCTTTAAGTGTTTTCAGCAAAAACAAACTTCTATCCAGAATGTTCTACATTCATAAATTCTCTCTTCTGCAGAGGACCCAGTTTGGAATAAGTCAGTTCCGGACGATTTGGTTAAATGAGTAATATTAACATCTAATTTGTGTTTGCTCTGCACAGTGATAACC